TTATTAGTTTTCATGATTTCGTTTAATTGTAATTCTGCACTTAAGCCGTTCGGCTTTTGAACTAATGTTAATATAAAGACTGCATTGTTTACTGTTAATGGTAATTAATTCTGATTTATGGTAATTACTGTATTTTGGGATGTTACATTTTCCTTATTAGTAAAAACAAATACATTAAATAAAAACAATTGTCTCAACCTATACATCATTAGATAGAAAGAGGGATTTTGTATTTCGATTCAATAATTGAAACATATCTAGATGACATAAAAAAAAATAGAATTTTTTGATGTCGGTCATAAATAGAAGCCTAAACTTTCATACGAAACTTCGATTCTAGACGAAATCAAAACATGAAATCATAAATAAATAAACGAATAAAAAAAATATTAGACTTCGATTATTTTAATAATCCAAACTGAATACCCTTCTGATTTTAAAAATAATTTAATTTTAAAAGAATATTAGATTTCGATTCTGAAAAAACTAAAGGTTAATACCTTAAAGTTAAATTATTTTTAAATTAAAAAAGATTATGCTTTGGTTATTACGAGAAAGCATAACAACCCATTTATACTTTATATTTTGGTAATAATCGAAATCTATTGTAGAATTTTTTTTTAAAATATTATTCTTTTGTTTTTGTTTTACTTTATATAATAATATGAAAACTTTATATAATTTTACTTTAAATGATTTATACATAAATAGGCGACATTCTATTATATATTTGGCAAATGTTTTTCTTACATAATATATGGACTTCTCATGCATTGTTGTAGCACTCTTGAATCTCTACAGAAAAGATAATACTTAAGTGAAAGTATAAAATACTCTATGAAACAAACACCTCTGCAAAGAAATTTTGGTTTCCATCCTCTCAACTATAATTATTCTCTCTCAGTTTCATTTTTTTTTCCTTTTGTAGTCATAAGTGAAATTAAGAACACTTTATATTCTTACCAATCTATTACTTGTTTGAGATGGATTAAGGAAAACTTGTGCAAGGAGAAAAACCACACAACAATTTTGTTTTAAAGGGAAACAACAATAGCTGTCAATGATGCTTGAATTGAAAATGCAATCATTGTTATAACTTAAAATGATTATTCTAATTACAAGTAAGCAAACTACACTTATGAAGAAATATAAGGGACTAAAGATATTTTCTTTCCCCTTTTAAACATTTGGTGACGAATGTTTGGATGTCATCAAACTTATTGTCATCATGAATGAGTTAAGAGTCTATGAACCCATATACATCACTCAACTTCGTTTCTTATTGACATCAAACATTGATAACGGTTGAAATACTGTTATTTTGATACTTAATTTTGTATTAAAACAAACTTTTATGACTTAGAAAACTAGCTTGGAATCATGTTTTTGCTTAAGTTTTGGAAATAAGAGAGTGGGATAGGTTTTAGGCTTGGTTTTTCTTGTTTTGGCAGGAATTAAGAGAATTAGATGAAAGAAGTTGAAGTAGTAAGAGCTAAACTCAGAAAGGAAGTAAAAGTACACAAAAGAAGAGTCATAGTCACCGTAGAGCGTATAAAACTTTTACCACTGAGCGGCATTTTGTTTCTTGGGGGGGAAGCACCACAGTCAACGTTGAGGGTTAAAACTGCGTTGATCGTCATTTGAAGACTGCACTATCGTGAGCCGCAATTCTGCCGTTGAGCGCCATTTAATTAGGCTTGGGCCTATTTTTTGTAATTTTTAATAAACTATATAAGGTTTTAGTCGACCTAGGGTTGATATCTTTGGACAGAAAGAGGCGAAATCAAACTTTCTTCACCCCTTGGAGGCGGATTTTAGATGCGGAAGCTCCTTTCTTCAAATTCTAGGGTTCTATCTTTCATTATTTTCATTATTTTCAACTAGTTTCACCATGTCTATGGTGAACCTAAACCTTCAATCTTGTTGGGGAACCGATGTATCCTTTGAAATCTCATGTATTGATTGGTTCATATTTTATATGCTTGACTCATTAGTTGTGAGGATTTTTTATTTTACACCTCATGCATACTTGTTTAAACTCATTCAATTGCATGATCATTGATGTTATCTATATGGACACATATAGGTAAATCTAGAACCGGGGAAATTCCCCGGAAGTAATATTACTAGTACATAGGAATAGGAGAATCGGTTGCCTTTTAATCTTCTGTGCGGAATGTAATGCATGAATAATTGCTAGGGAAACAAAACATTGTAAACTAGTGATTAGGAGTAGGCTTTCTTCACCGAGACATCGAGTTTAAGGTAAATTAGAAAGTGACATTAACATTAATGAAGAAAGATGAATTCATGAATACATGAGAGTGGATAGGATAAGTCGGAAACCCCAACAACATCATCATTCCATATTTTACATCAATCACTTTTGCATCTTTCAATCCAATTGATTAAAACTTTCATTCATGTTTATTTTTCGTAATTCAACCATAATGATTTTGTTTACAAGTCTAATTTAATCAAGAAATCACATAACTTTCTAGGTCGTGAATCCTTTGGGAAACGATACTTGGTCTTACCATTTTATTATTACTTGATACGATTCGGTACACTTGCCGAAGTGTTAACAAACATATATCTGAACAAAAAACATTTATTTAATATAAGTAACTAGATAAATTAATTAGATACAAAGAATGGTTTAGAGGCTTACATAATTCACAACTAAATTGAAATACAAGAAAACACTAGAAAGGAGGGAGGGGGTTGAATATTGTTTTAAATTCTTTTTGCAAAATCAACATTTAGTGACCATTGCAAGTGTTAGATAAACTGCAATAGTGTTGTTAGATGCTTGTGTTTTCAAATAAGCATTTAGGAAAATGTTTGACAAGCAAAGTGATTAACACAACTATTTTTATACTAGTTTGTTCCAATCTAAGTAATGTCTAGTTCTCCCTTAAGACATCTAAAGGAGTTCCACTAATCTTTAACAATATTACAACGAGTACAACCTACTCTTGGTATTCAAGTATTATCAATCACTTTTGGTTCCCACTAGTCTACCTAACTAGAACGAGTTTAACCTTTCTTGGTATCCACCCTAGATAAATTGTTTAGATCGTTTAACTCAATCGAATTAAACAATACAAGTGTTTTAATTCACTTATGAATATCGACACAACAAGTGTTTCTAGTACAAGTATAGATTAAAATAACTTTCAAAGAGAGGATGGATTAAATACAATGAAATATGATAACTTGAAATACATTTTCTTGTTCAAAGAATAGACTTAGATGATATAAGATTTGAAAGAGAATAACAACGTAAGGATTCAAAAGTTCCTGTATATATATTACTGCTTCTCTTCTACGAGTCCTCCTTATATAGTCATCTTCGAGAAAGATCCATTACTCAGATAGATTTGACCTTTTGAGAGTAGGTAGCTTATGGTATGAAGGTTTGTACTATTATGCATCTTTGGAAGAACAATATTGCTTTAGAAGTGAGAGCTTGTATGACTATGACAAGGCATAAATCTTTAACGAAACATTCTACGAATGTCTTCCTATTTCTCAACGGCTTTTCGATCCATCTGCATCACTTTCGAACAAAGTTTAGTGTTGTCATTATCTGTACAAAAAAGAGAGCAAAAGCATACAAGGAAACAAAGGTACAATACATACTACAAAATTTTTTGAAATTACCGACAAAATTTTACCGATGAAAATAAATTTGTCGGTATGTTCGTCGATAATACACATAAAATTTACTGGCGAAAAAGATTATTGGTAAATCCTGCGATAATACACATGAAATTGACCAATGAAAAAAGATCGTCAGTAAATCCGTTAGTAATACACATAAAATTTAAAGACAGAAAAGTCTGTCAGTAAATATGTCGGTAAAAAGAAAGGCAAATTTCCCGCTCACTCTTTCTCTCTTTCCGCAAACTGCACATTACTCTTTTTTCTCTCTCTCTTTTCAGATCTATTTCTTATCTCGTTTCACATTCTCAAACATCACTTCAAAACCCCCTTCATCTTCTTTTCTCTCCCGTGAGGGTAGCCTTTTATCTCTCCCATTTTTTCCATCTAAGCTTAGATTAGTACAACTCTAGGCCCCTTTGATGTGCCTCCATCTCTCTCGTTGAGTGAAGCCGCCATCTACATCGTCAAGCTTGGGATCTTTCATTTCATATTCTTCTTCTCTAACAAGTGCAAGGGAGGGATTTCCTGTTCTTCCTCTTTCATGCAAGGGCGTATCCAAGCCAGGTGCACCGTCGTCGTGCCATGCACTACCGTCGTAGCTTGGTTTGCGTGTAAGTGCTTTGAAAGAGAGTCAATTGCCCAAAATCGTACAGTGAGAAACAAATATTCGTAGAATAGCTGAGCTGCGGCGGAGCTACGGTTGGGCTGTCATAGGGCGGTAGTTGAGCACCACACCAGTAAATCTAGTTTTGAGCTAATTTTCTCATACGCCACTAGGCGGTAGCCTGACGGTAGCCCGACAACAACGTTGAAGAGTTTTTTTGGCCTTGACACATTTTTGTTTGTTTAGTTATTCTTAGTTTCTTGTTAGATTGATTGGTGTATATATGTTCATGTTTCTTTGATTGTTTAGGAGTGTCTTGGTGTGTTTTGAATTATGTTGATGAAGTTTGGTTTGTTTGAATTATGTTGATGAAGTTTGGTTTGTTTGAATGAGTTTTATGTTGTTCTTTTCTTTTTTGAGTTATTTCGGGCATTAGGGTATATTATCAATTTAGAAATATGTTGTTGGGAATAGAACCCTGTTTTGTTGTTAGTGTCACAGAAAAGGGATTTGATCCCGGGCTACAACTTCAAATACCAATCCAAATATACAAATATAAAAAAAAAATTAACAATGAATATTGTTTCAGTTGTATGGCATTTATTAGGGAGATATAAACATCTTTACTTATAAAAGATCTTTATTTAACAACAAATGTAGAAGAAATACTTGAGAACAAAGCTATAGTAATTGGTTCTCCAATGACTAACAAAAATCTTATTCATGGCTACATTAAAGCACTAGTACCCAGTAATTTACTTAACCCAAAAGTGATGGCCATGGCTATCCATCCTCCAAGAAGGAACCTTACATGAGATTTTAACTTAGGAGTTTTTCCCAGTTGAGCCACCACCCTTCCAAACACCAGCAAAGCCAAGCTAGTCGTTGCCACAACCACAATAACCCTTGTCATGTAACGTTCTATAAAAGCGGCAGAAAGTAGAGGAATCAATGCACCTATAGAAAAGGATACTGCAGATGCCAAAGTAGCTTGCAGTGGATTAGGTAATGTTCTTTTCTCCATTTCCATCTCCAAGTCCTTTTCCCCTCCTACACTCATCTTCATATCTCTCTTTATTTGACCAATCTCAACATCATACTGAGTGTACACTGCAACGTACTCTCCTATCGCCATACCACAAGCCCCTGAAACCAACCCTGCAAAACCAGCAAGTAGCATAGCCTTTGGGTCTTTTTTAACGGCTCCTACACCCATCATCAATGAAGCAACCGAAACCAACCCATCATTGGCTCCTAAAACTGCTGGACGAAGCCACTGCGCTCTTTCCCTGTAGTTTATGTTTGCATCATCTTCGGTAACTTTTTGTGTTTTCTTCTCATCAGTTTTTTTTGCTGGACTTGGATTCACTCCTCCTACATGGTTTTGTGACACCAAACCATTGGATGTAGCTGTAGCCATTTTGGTGTCACAACAACAAAGGAGGGGAGACCAAGAAGATGAAAACAAGAGCAGAGCAAAGTTAGTGAAAGTTAAAGGCTTCTTAACAAGAAAAGATAGATAAATAATGAAATATTTGCATCTTTACGTTGTCTTGCTTGAAAGAGTACACTATTTGGACATTTAGAAAGGGCAAAAGTATATATATAATACTTGACATAAAGATATATTGATGTCAACTTGATTTGAAATTGGGAAGGGGAATATTGGCTATGTGATTCTTATATACCTTTTTATTATATTTTTCCCTGATGAATTGTTAAAATATAATTTGCTTAAATGTTCTAAGTGATACTAAACTTGATTCTTTTTAAAGTAAGATAATTATAGGTTTGAGATTTGTGTAAGATTCATGTCTGGGACTGGTGAATGAAAAATTATATAATTGAAGGACAATATCTAATTAAAGATGATCAATTAAGTTTTTCAATAGAAATTAGAAATAGACGAAGTCAATGATATGTACTAATGGCATAGTTATAAAAACATCATTTTACATAAATTAAAAATAAAATTATAATATGTTTTTAGAAGATTTAAGAAATTATTCTATTTGAAACATTTTTTGCAATTTTAGTTATGTGTGGTTCATTATTATAAGTAGATAATAGATTTAATTTATTAAAATATATGCACAATACCAAAAAGTGTGTTTAAAAATAATATATATTAAACATTTTCATCATAGAAATATATTTTAAATCTCAAACATCACAAATACTGCATCTATACATATTTTTCCAAATGTGCTCCGGAATAGAGCTATATGTCAGTTTTTTTTTTTATTTAGTCACCATTAGGTTAGATGGAAAGAAAATATACAAGAATGAAACTTAAACATTACAGAGAATAGATAAAAATAATTTTGATTGTAAAAGTCAAGTTCTTTTCTATTTTTTTCAATTAAAATTAAGAGAAAGTGTATTTTTTTTTATCATTCAAACTTTATTATTGTTCTCTCTTCCGAAGACAAAATAAACTAAAATTAATAACTAGAAGTGGCCTTTCGTCTTTATAAATTTATATACATAAACCATGGTGAACGGCCAGAAAAAGAAAGGTTCAAAATGTTTACTGGCAGATAAAATATCAAATTATGAAAGGGAAAGGCAAAGCAAAAAGAAGTCAACTTGCATGCCCTGATATAAATGCATTTATTTTATTACCACAAAGGCCATCGTATTAGATTAGGAATATTAATTTAAAAGTAATTTAAACTAAAAAACTAGTACCCTCAGTCACAACAATTTCTGAAATTGAATTACAATATTTTATTAAATGTGCCGAATACACAATCTTTCGAGGTTAATTGCTTACTTATTTTTATGATGAATAGCGTATATATATATATATATATATATATATATATATATAGAGAGAGAGAGAGAGAGAGAGAGAGAGAGATCTTATTACTACAGAAATTATGACTTGCAGAAATACTGATTATGTGCATTTTGATCATTATTATATTTTATTAAGTTAAACATTTAATATTTGATTTCAATTTAATATTATTCATAAACATGTATGAGTGAATGATTTATTTGTAGTTAACAATTAAAATGTATACATATGTACGGAAAGTGATCTAATCATGTGTTGTTGATTTTTTTTTAAATTTAACCGGGGGAAAAATGAAAGAAAAAGTTAATTATAAAGAAAGGAGGGGCTTTAAATGAAATTGATAAAAGCGTTTCGCAAACTTTTTACGAAACTTGATAGATTAAATGTTGAAGGTACGGTTTGAAATTTGGTTTATAATATTTTTTCTTCAACATCTTTTGATGACAACTTAAAGAGTATATACAAACATAATAATGAATACTTCAATTTATATTAGTTCACTCAAGTGATGCTGAGTTTTCCTTCGGCCTTTGTAATTAAGCAAAAAACCGTTGATATTAACCTTTTACTGGCTTATTGACGGTCAAAATACCGTTGGTAAATCCCTTGTTGTTAATGTTTACCGACGGTTTTTGTCCTTCGGTAATTACCGAAGGACAAAAGTCTTCGGTAATTACCGAAGGGCAAAAGTCTTCGGTAATTACCGAAGGACAAAAGTCTTCGGTAATTACTGAAAGACAAAAACGTTCGGTAATTACCGAAGGGCAAAAGCCTTCGGTAAATCCTTCGGTATGATCCAGACAAAACTAAATCATATTTGTATTTCTTATCCAACCAAACAAACCTGCATAAAATGTTTACATCATAAACAAACCTGCATAATATTTTCAAACCACAGACAGACCTCCATAATATGCATCCCAAAATCATCGATCTAATCATTAATGACAAAAACAACTTTATAACATCATTTGTATTCTTCAAATTTAAGAACTTCTATTTATAAATGAAACATGAAACATAAAATAATATCATCTAGACATTAAACATAATGTTCTAACATCCAAATGTTCTAAGAACTATGTTCAATAACAAAATAAAACTAATAATCTACATAGTCATCATCATAATGATCTTCATCATCCTACTGCTCTATAGATGGCTGGATTGGTGTGGGCTGGACTGATGTGGGCTGTTGAGTGACGACAGGTGACGAGGATGGTCGTGGCTGGGTTGGAGGGATAGTGGAATGAGTGTCTTCCGCATCAGCACTAGTGCAGAAATGGCCTTTAACGTCACCCCATAGACGTCCGTCCACAACAGCCCCAACGTAAATAATTGACCAATGGCATATCCGTAAATAAGTGAAACTCTAGACGTCCGTTGTGGGGGGGGGGACGGACGTCTATAATATTATAGATGTCTGGGCCCCACCCACGGACATCTAAGAGGCTGGAACAATCACCTCTTCAACTCCCCTGTCAGCCCCTTAAACGTCCATTGTGGAGGGGGTCGAACGTCTATAATATTATAGACGTCCGACCCCCATATCGGACGTTTTGGGTGCTGATAGGTAGTTGAAGAATTAATTGTCTCTCAGCCCCTTAAACGTCCGTTGTGGAGGGGACAAACGTCTATAATATTATAGACGTCCAGCCCCCCATATCGGACGTTTAGGGTGCTGACAGGTAGTTGAAGAATTAATCGTCTCTTAGCCCCTTAAACGTCCGTTGTGGAGGGGGACGGACGTCTATAATATTATAGACGTCCGGCCCCATCCACAACGAACGTTTAAGGGGCTAACAGAGGGGAGTTGAAGAGGTGATTGTTCCAGCCTCTTAGACGTCCGTGGGAGGGGCCCGGACGTCTATAATATTATAGACGTCCGT